GGTCGTGTGCACACGCGTGCTCCCATCCGGGTGAGAGGTCGTGTGCACATGCGTGCTCCTATCCGGGTGAGAGGTCGTGTGCACACGCGTGCTCCTATCCGGGTGAGAGGTCGTGTGCACACGTGCTCCTATCCGGGTGAGAGGTCGTGTGCACACGCGTGCTCCCATCCGGGTGAGAGGTCATGCGCACACACGTGTGCTCCCATCCGGGTGAGAGGTCATGCGCACACACGTGTGCTCCCATCCAGGTGAGAGGTCGTGTGCACACATGTGCTCCCATCCGGGTGAGAAGTCGTGTGCACACGCATGCTCCCATCTGGGTGAGAGGTCGTGTGCACACGCGTGCTCCTATCCGGGTGAGAGGTCGTGTGCACACGTGTGCTCCCATCTGGGTGAGAGGTCGTGTGCACACGCGTGCTCCTATCTGGGTGAGAGGTCGTGTGCACACGCATGCTCCTATCCGGGTGAGAGGTCGTGTGCACACGCGTGCTCTTATCTGGGTGAGAGGTCGTGTGCACACGCGTGCTCCTATCCGGGTGAGAGGTCGTGTGCACACGCGTGCTCCCATCTGGGTGAGAGGTCGTGTGCACACGCGTGCTCCTATCCGGGTGAGAGGTCGTGTGTACATGCGTGCTCCTATCCGGGTGAGAGGTCGTGTGAACATGTGTGCTCCTATCCGGGTAAGAGGCCATCATGGGCATGCACACACGCGTTCTTACCCAGGTAAGAGTTGTGACATTATGTGCACACGTGTGCAAGTATGGTCCTGATAAAAACCAAATGCTCAGGACCAGGATGGCAGACAGTGGCTCCGGTGAGTGGGGGCCGCAAGTAAAAGGAACCATGAGAACCGAGACAGGTCTCTAAGGGAGGAGCGGGCAGACCAGAGGAGGGCGGAGCTCCATGGCCCTGGTTCAGCGCACAGGCAGTCTGCACTCCATGGTCAGGCTCTTCCTTCCCTCTAGAGGCCAGTCCCGGGCTGTGTGCAGGGAGGTGCTCTGGCACCTGAGCCGTCACTGGGCTCACCCGCCGTCCCCGCACCAGAGGCAGGCAGGGGACCCTGAGGCCACCAGAGCCAGGTGTCTCCAGACAGTGCAGAGCACCAGGGGCCCCGGCCCCGCTCAGATGGGTCTCCTGTACCTGTAGTACTCGTGCTTGTCCTGCGAGTACAGCAGCGGATCGATGCAGGGTCGTCCATCCACCTTCTCCTCCCAAGTGCCCTCCTTCCAGCCTTCCGCGTACCCTTGCAGGACGTACACCTGGTCAATAAAGGGCCCACCAGACTCTGAAAAATGACAAGGAAGCACAGGGCAACCATGACCCAGGGACGCTCACAGACACACCCCGGGTCACGGGTGCGGATGCGACTTTCACGGTTGTAAGATCCTCTTATTTCCAGAGGCCTGGTGGAAGCAGACAACGTAGAAGACAGGCTTGGTGTCATGGGCACAGAGGGCCTGGAGGCCTCTCCACAGGCTCCCTGGGCCATCTTCTTGCTGCTGCTGCCCGGACGGGCCAGCAGGGCTGGCTTCACCAGAGGGCACCCGCGCCTGCGCCCCGCCCCGGCTGACCTTCCTCTGGCTGGCTCTGCCCCGCGAGACAGCCTCACTGCTACCCCCTCCCCACAGAGCGCTCCTGCTGAGGACTTGCCCAAAGGCAGGACGCTGTCTTCACATGGCTCACAATCAGGGGCTCAAAACTCGGGCCTGAGCCCCTTTCACCACCGGTGGAGGTGGGGTCACTGCCCACTGAGCGCTGTGCAGCACCAGCACGCGCCCCATCCACGGGAAGGAAGCAAGTCAGCCCGCACCTGCCTGGCCACAGTGTCTCCAGGAAGCCCGGCACCCCGCAGGGCTCCCAGGCGCCTGGATCAGCAGAGGGATCCTTTACCATAGCCAGCCGGAGGTTACGTCCTCCAAAGAACCCCCTCACAACAAGGCTGGAGAAGGCAGCAGGGTGACCGGGTGCCTTGGGGACCCTGGGAGCCCACGCAGGGGCAGCACCAGCCGTCTACTTCCCCGCAGGAGCTCTGACCACACCCACCTGCTCAGCAAACTGTGGGGGGGAGGAGGAGGGGAGTCTCGGAAGGGAAGGGGTGTGGCAGGCGGGTGCGCGGGCAGCTGGCCGGAGGGAGAGCGGGCAAGGCGGGCGCAGCGGTGAGGAAGGACTGGCCTGGTCAGCGCCTCCCCGCAGCCTCACCTGCGATGAACTGCTCGTACTCGATGACAGGGATGTTCTTGTTCAGACTCGGGAGGTCAAAGAACTCCGCCCAGGGGATGCGGACCTGGTGGATGTCGGGGCTCTGCCAGTGGTAGAGGCGCCCCCACGGGGGCAGCACGAGCACCCACTCCTCCGTCTTCAGCAGCGTCTTCAGCAGTGAGGCCACGCGGATGTAGACATCCCTGCGGAGGTTGAAGCCTTCGGGGGGGTTGACGTCGTACAGCAGGTAGCTGACAGGCGGGGAGCAGCGCGCGGCTCTCGTGAGGCCACGCACACGCACACGCGCACGCGCACACGCACCCGCCCGCCCAACTCCACGCCTCCCACTGAGGCGCACACGCGCCCGCC